ATTAATGAGTTAAAAATATTAGTAACATGTGAAAGTGAACCTTAATGTAAAGTGAACACCTGTGAACCAGTTATTAATGAGTTACAAACGTTAATAACCTGTGAAAGTGAACCTTAATGTAAAGTGAACACCTGTGAACCAGTTATTAATGAGTTACAAACGTTAATAACCTGTGAAAGTGAACCTTAATGTAAAGTGAACACCTGTGAACCAGTTATTAATGAGTTACAAACGTTAATAACCTGTGAAAGTGAACCTTAATGTAACGTGAACTCCTGTGAACCATTTATTAATGAGTATTAAACATTAGTAACCAGTCAAAGTGAACTTTAATGTAAAGTGGACACAATAATAATTGATTGATTCATTGATTGATTATTCTTGCACACACAGAAAAAGTTAGAATTTTCTGGTGAAATAAATTTTGTTGTTGCACTACATCAGTAAACAACTTTCAACTTGAAACAAAAAGATTAATCTTTTCTTTTACAGCACACTGGAACATTACTGAGCATAGCTTCACACAAAAAAGTGGCTTCTAAAAGTAAACTCCAGGGTTCGTACACATTTTTACCAATACATTTCCATGACTTTTCCATGACTTTTGAGACAATATTCATTACCTAAATGTTCCATTATTTTACAATAAGAATAAAAATATTTTCAAATTATCATAGCATATGTTAACTAAAATGAATGACTATTAATGCAACTCGTTTGCTTTCTTCTTTTAGTAATAAGTACAAGCTGCAACTGCGCCAGACGTTACTCCACATTTCACATATCACATCACTGAATATTATCATTTATTTAACTGTGTGGCCAGGATGGCCATTTTGGTGTCATTTTGTGTGTCCGCCTCTGGAGCGCGCGAGTACCGAATGGCTTAAAAAGACGTGCAAATAAAAAATAAAATTTTCTGACGATGCAACATTGACCTGATTAGGCAAGTGACAATTCTGTCAACTGTCCCGAAATGCGAGTGAAAGTCTTGTATCGCAGCGTGCAGCGGCTCTTGTAGCGCAGACAAGATGCGCCGGTGTGAAGCCGTTTGAAGAGAAA